CCCATTACATATTATTTTTTCCCCGCATAGTTCGAAGCTTTTCGAATTTTAATTTCAAATTGTATGAGGGAAGTTAAAGTTCAAGTCCGTAGATCGTGCTCGTGTATGTGTGCACACACTTATCGCATATCTCAAAATATATTATTAGTCAAGGCCTCGTGAAAATCGCATTCCCATTCCTATCCAGCTGTTGTTCCTACGCAGGATCAATAGGATAAAACCGAAGAAAGTCGGAGAAATAATGAAATGCGTATAATTAATTGTATTTTTTTGTAGTATTCAGAGTGATTTACTGGCCAACTTAAGCGGGTAACAATCGTAGAAAGTTAAGTGAAAGATTTCTTGCTTGGAATTGCAGGCAAAGGAAAAATAAATGGATTAGCAATTATAAGAAAAAATAGATGATTTGGTGATTGTTCACGTGGAGTAATTATGTTTTTTGTTTTGTTGGAAACATGTGTAAATTTTAGAAGAAAAAAACGAAGGTTGTGAATTAAAATTAATGTGTAATTAAAAAACGAGTAATTGGCGTTGAGGGGGGAATGCATTTCAATAAATTACGGACGTTCCCATTTTCGTGCGTTGATTTTATTTCTGATGCGGCAAGAAAGAAAAAGGAAAATAGCTTTGGAAGAAGATGATCACACAAATAACCTAAATGGATTGGAACCAGGTCGTCCCGCGCAATAGCCTCTTCTTTATCGTTGTCGTTCTTTTTTTTAATTTTATTTGTGTGTGTGTTATTGTATCAACAAGCACAACAGAAGCGATCCTTCGATGATACGCAATGTCGGGCGCGTGTAAACATTTAAATTGTTGAGGTTGAGCAAGGTCGTAGAGCTGACACCTGATGCGTCCACGGATTAAGAGACGCCGCCGACACACAAGCACGACCACCCCTTTGGAAAATCGATGGTGGCTCTCTTCCATCCATCAAAGGACGTCTCGCCGGGAAAGAATCATCCTTTTTTTTATATTTTCTTCTTCACTCTACTCTTTTAATTATGACACGTCGTCGCTGCGATGGGTTTGTGGCACAAGGACGAACCGAAATCGCACGGAAAGAAAGAGATGCCTTTGTCGCAACAACAGATTCAGAAACAATGCCAGCTAGTAAAGTCTGCGTTAGAGAACAATCCCGATCCTACTTTCACTATCGTTCCGCATTCCTGGTCTCAACTATTAAGTGTTTGCGTGGTGCTGCGACCTTTCCGGTCGTTCCGAGAGATGTGTCTCCTCTTGTCTGGTTTTTTCGGGTGCTGATCTTTCTCCTCCTCCTCCTCCTCCTCCTTCTCAACCCGGTATTATGCAAGTCCGGTGCTGAAAGTAAACAGCGGCTGGTAAATTTAACACATATTTAAGGCGGCCGTCCAAAAATATCGCGAGCTAAGGTCAGAAAACATTCGGATGCTGTATCTCTTTTGTATGCAACAACACGGCCAGTAGAGGAGCGGGCCAGGTGTTACAGAATGTGCACACAGGTTCCGAAGCGATACTGGCCCTTATCTCGGAGGCTGCTAAGGAGTTCGACGACAGCTGCTTTTCTTTCCCCCAATGATGAAGAAGGGAAGCTGTTAGCCGTACCCGTAGACAGTAGACGGACGAGAGAAAACATGCTGTAGAAATAAAGAATTTAAAAACGTAAATGGAAGGAAGCGACGATGAAGATGAAAGAAGAGGGATGAACCTACTTCTTCTTTGCTTTTATTTCGCTCCATTATCTCGATTTATCTAATTTGTATTACAACTATTGCATAAAATGTGAAGCAATTGTCGTGGCATTGGCTGGAATTCAAGGCTTCACGTGTGCTCATTTGTCTCACTGTGTGTGTGTATGTATTATGCTCTCGCCTTTTTTTTTTTCGTTCATTTTATTTCTCCACGAGTTTGTTTCTACACGCCTCATCTTTCCTCTCTCGCTCACTCCCATTCCATTTCGGTGGAAATGCGAGCACAGTAAACACAATGTTTCAGAATTAGATGGAATCCACTATAATTAATATTAGGCTTTACATCAAGTCTCGGAATTACTCTACACTCGAAATGCCTTAACCCCACAGTTTTATTCAAACTTTACACAATTCCAATTATCTTTCATTGCTTTTCACATCATTATTTAAATCAAAATCACTTTCAATTTGATATTTGTTATTAATT